CTGTAACTTCAAAGTATGATAGACAGTTACCCCTCAATATGGTGGAGGATTGGTTCCAGGACTCCAGTTGATACCCACATCTGCAGATGTATAAGATGCATATAACCTACTTGTGTACTCCTGTATACTTTTTTTTTTTTTTTTTTTTGGTTTTTCGAGACAGGGTTTCTCTGTGTAGCTTTGCGCCTTTCCTGGTACTCGCTTTGGAGACCAGGCTGGCCTCGAACTCACAGAGATCCGCCTGGCTCTGCCTCCCGAGTGCTGGGATTAAAGGCGTGCGCCACCACCGCCCGGCTCCTGTATACTTTTTAAAACACAATTTTATCTGGGCGATGGTGGCACACCTTTAATCCCAGGACTCGGGAGGCAGAGCCAGGTGGATCTCTGGGAGTTCAAGGTCAGCCTGGTCTATGGAGCAAGATCCAGGGCAGGCACCAAAACTACAGAGAGAAACCCTGTCTTGAAACTCCCCCCCCCCCAAAAAAAAAAAACCCCACAATTTTAAAGATCTATCTCTCTTTTTTTGTTGTTAGATTTATTTATTTATTATGTACACAGAAGAGGGCACCAGATCTCATTACAGATGCTTGTGAGCCACCATGTGGGTGCTGGGAATTGAACTCAGGACCTCTATAAGAGCAGTCAGTGCTCTTAACCTCTGAACCATCTCTCCAGCCCCTCTATCTCTTTTTTTAATGTGTGTGTTTTGCCTGCACATATAAGTATTCACCACGTTTGCCTGGTACCTATGGAAGCCAGAAAAGGATATAGCATCCACTGAAACTGGAGTTAGACAGTTGTTAGCTGTCATGTTTGGGTGCTGGGAACTGAACCTGCGTTTTCTTCTCTCTTACAATATATCTCCACTACAGTTTCCCTTCCCTCCACCCCTCCTAGTTCCCCACACACACCTCCCTTCTCCCCTAGATAACTGCTCTCTGTTTCCCTTCAGAAAAGAGCAGGCCTCCCAGGGATGTCAATCCTAAATGCATAAGATGCAATAAGACTAGGGTCTACCTTATCAAGGCTGGATGAGGCAACTCCAGCAGGAGGAAAAGAGTCTTAAGAGCAGACAGAAGAGTCTCACACTGTTAGGAGTCCCACAGAAATCCCAAGCTAAACAATCATAATTATCTGCAGAGGACCTAGTGCAGACCCATGGAGGCTTTGTGATTGCTGCTTCAGTCTCTGGGAGCCCCTATGAGCTCTGCTTAGTTGATTCTGTGGGCCGTGTTCTCGTAGTGTTGTCCACCCCACTGACTCCTCTTTCATGGGATTTCCTGAGCTCTGCCTGATGTTTGGCTCTGGGTCTCTGTGTCTTTTTCCTTCAGCTGCCAGAGGTAGCCTCTCTGATGACTATTGGGTTAGGCACCAATTATAAGTATAGTAGAATATCCTTAGGACTTATTTCATTGACTTTTTTTGGCCAGTTATGTTTGAGCCTAGGTCTCTGGGCTATCCAGGAAGTGTAGGACATAGGTTCCCTCTTGTGGTGTGGGCATCAAGTTAGACCAGTGCTGGGTCTGGGACACCAACCCAGCCACAAAACCTTTAACCTACAACCTATCCTGCCTGCAAGATGTGCTGGGGTAGTGGTGGCTCAGAATTTATGGGAGTGGCCAACCAATGAACTTGAAGCCAGTGCTCTTAACCACTGAGTCATCCACTCTCTAGGACCTCCTGCCTCTATTTTAAACACATTTTTTTTAATTCTTTTATGCCTGGTGGCGGTGGCGCACACCTTTAATCCTAGCACTTGGGAGGCAGAGCCAGGCGAATCTCTGTGAATTTGAGGCCAGCCTGGTCTACAGAGCAAGATCCAGGACAGGCACCAAAACTACACGGAGAAACCCTGTCTCAAAAAACCAAACAAACAAACAAAAAAAATTTCTTTTATTATATTTATTGTCACTGTACAAGTATGGAGGTCATAGGACAACTTGCAGAAGTCATTCTGTCCTTTACCACATGGGTTCTGGGATATGGGACTCAGGTTGTCAGGCTTGGCAGCAAGCGTTTGTACCCACTGAGCCGTCTTGTTGCTGGCCCTGGACAGTGCCCTTTATACATCATAAGTTCTCAATGGTTTGGTATATATTAGGAAATAATAGGTACTCCCTGTCTTCACAAGTTAATATTTAATATAGCATTCTATAATACTTGGTTCAGGTTCCTGTTAGGCAGTTTAGTTCCCTGCTAAATTCTGTTTCGTGTACTACTTAGGATATAATCTCCTCCCAACCCTGAATTGAACCCAGGATCTCTAGTTGAGGCAGTCCTGTACTAGTGAGTGATAGTCATCCCTATGATGAGTTATTTTTTTTTAATGATGATGATGATTATGATGATTTTACAACCTGACCGCCGTTTCCTCTCCCTCCTCTCCTCCTAGTGCCTCCCCCAACCTCCTTTCTGCCTGCCTCCTCCTCCATTTCTATTCAGAAAAAGGCAGGTCTCCCATAGATATCAACCAAACATGGCATATCAAGTTGTAGTGAGACTAAGCACCTCAAAAAAAGGGTGGGTGGGTGAGATGGCTCAGTGGTAAGAGCACTAGCTACTCTTCTAGAGGACCTGGGTTCAATTTCCCAGCATCAACATGGCAGCTCACAACTGTCTGTAACTCCAGTTCCAGGAGATCTGACACCTTCACACCAATGTGCATAAAATAAAGTTTAAAAAAAAAAAAAAAAAGCCAATAAAGGCATTAAAAAAAAAAAAAAAAAGACGTGGGTACCTCCCTTCATGTTAAGGCTGGATGAAGCAACCCAGTAGAGGAATAGGTCCCAAAAGCCAGCAATGGAGTCAGAGACAGAGCTAGGTGGTAGTGGTGGTGCACACTTTAAATCCCAGCACTCAGAAGGCAGAGGCAGGCAAATCTCTGTGAGATCAGGCCAGCTTGGTCTACAGAGTTGAGTTCCAGGACAGGTAGGCTACACAGTGAAACCCTTCCTTAAAACACACACACACACACACACACACACACACACACACACACACACACACACACACACACACACACGCAAGTCAGAGACAACCCCTCCCCTGCTCCCACTGTTAGTAGACCAAGCTACATAACTGTAACATATATGCAGAGGGCCTAGATCAGTCCCATGCAGGCTCCCTGGTTCAGTCTCTGTGAACCCTTATGAGCCCAAGTTAGTTGGTTCTGTGGGTTTTCTTGTGATGTCCTTGACTGCTCTGGCTCCTACAAACCTTCCTCCCCCTCTTCCATAGCATCTCCTAATGCTTGGCTATTTCCGTCAATTGCTGGATGAAGCCTCTCTGAGGACAGTTGGACTAGGCAGCAGTCTATGAGTGTAGCAGAATATCATTAGGCATCATTACTTTGGCTTTTTTTTTTTTTGCCAGTCAGTTGTATTTGGTTCTATCCTAGGTCTCTGGGCTATCTAGCCTCTCGGTGCTGGTGCTCCAAGTAGTGTCAGGGATGGGCTCCCTCTTGTGGCATGGGACTCAGGCTGGGCCAGTCATGGCTGGCCACTCCCACAATTTCTGCACCGTCTTTATTCTAGCACATCTTGTAGGCACAACAAATTGTAGGTCAAAGGTTATGTGGCTGGGTATGATGTGTTTTTAATCTTGGGTTTATTTTTTACTTTAGTCAGTAGTGGAAGACCTAAGCAGCAATAATCAGATGATCTCATGGTGCAAGGAAGAAATGTCCCAGCAGCAGTCCTAGTTGAATTGTGCTGCATTTATTTCACCTTGGAGAGACAAAAGGCACCTGATAGTGACCCTCCAGTAGAACAGACGAAGTCTTTTAAAGATGCTTTTAATAGGACATCAGTAATTAATCATGGTTTGAGATTTTGTAGTCAGTTCAGTTATATAAACAAGAATATAGAGTTTTGAGTACATAAATAGAAAATTGTTAGGACAAGGGAAATACGTCGAATTGGTAGTTGGTTTGGTATTTAATAGTGTCTAAAATATCTAGGTCCTGTTCTGTGTGGTGCTGATATTAAAGATAATGAGGACAGTCTGATCAAATGAGAGGCATCACCTGTGTTAAAAATAGGTACCGTGGAGCATATTTATAATCACATCCATTGAGTAGAGATTACTAGGACAAAGTTAATTGATTGTTAAAAACAGTGGTAATATATGTACATATTTGCTTTGGATGTTAACATTTCATTTTTGATAAAAAGTAGTGGTTTAATAAAATTTAGAAATTTTAGTACAGTTTTCACCAAGTCTGATTTAGTAAAAATATTTATTAGATCTAGACATTTAAATAGTTATTATTGACAATGCTTTCATCTTGGATGAATTACCTTATGTATGTATGTATCTATATCTTTTTTTTATTTAAAGAAGGTTTCTGCAGAGCAGTAAATCCAACATTCTGACACTGCCTTTCTTTTGTGATTGTGTGGTTATGACTGTGAGAAGTTCTTGCATTTGGTGCATTCTCTTATCTGTCATCCTAAAGTAAATTTGTTCCTGTTAGCTTAAACTCACATATTTGACTTTGGGGTTTTCCTTATTTACTATATGACATTTATTTGAATGGGGAGATGGGATACGTTAGATTTTCATCTTCCATTTGTTGCTTGAGCAAAATAATTCCTAAAGCCCTCCCTACTTTAAATAAAGAACAGTAGCTATTGTCAGTCACTCATTCTTTCCTCTCACAGTTTGCCTTACTTTTTAGTTTATTGACCAGAAATTATAAATTTATTTTTATGTTCATGTTAAACTACTTTGTATGGTGAAATCAGTGCACTTAAAATATCAGTAATTTGCCAGACAGTGGTGGTGCATGCCTTTAATCCCAGTTCTTGGGAGGCAGAGGCAGGCAGATCTCTGTGAGTTTGAAGCCAGCCTGGTCTGTACAGGGAGCTCCAGGACAGCCAGAGCTACACAAAGAAACCCTGTCTCAAAAAAAAAAAAACAAAAACAAAAACAAAAAACAAAACAAACAAACAAACAACCAGTAATGTCTGTTTTAATTATTGTATTTTGATCATTTGTAGGCGAAACCTAACCAAACTATCCCTGATCTTCAGCCACATGCTGGCAGAACTGAAAGGCATCTTCCCAAGTGGACTCTTCCAAGGAGACACTTTTCGGATTACTAAAGCAGATGCTGCAGAATTTTGGAGAAAAGCTTTTGGGGAAAAGTAAGTCTCTAAATGATGAACCTAACTATAAAAAACTAAAACTTACGTTAGGAGATACTTGTTTAGAATTTTAAATTGTGCAGTATTTAAAACACAGTGGGTCAGCAAGATGGCTCAGCAGGTAAAGTGCTTGCCACACAGACCTGACAGTCTGAGTTTGATTCCTGGAACCTGTGTAAAGATGTGAGGAGAGAACTGATTCCACAAAGTTTTCCTCGATAGTTACATGTGCACCATGGCACTTACACTCCGCGTTCACACATAAACACACACCATCACCAACAATAGCAATAACATTTTTTTAAATTCTTTTTTTTTTATTTTTTTTTTAATTATTGTTGTTGTTGTTATTATTATTTTGGTTTTTCAAGACAGGGCTTCTCTATGTAATAGAAAAGCTGTCCTGAAACTCATTTTGTAGACCTAGCTGTCATGGAACTTACAGAGATCCACTTGTCTCTGCCTGCCAAGTGCTGGGATTAAAGACGTGCACTGATACACCCAGCTAATTTTTTTTTTTTTAAGCCAGGAATGGTGGTTCATGGCTATAATCCCAGCACTGGGGAGAAGAAAGCAGGAAGATAAGAATTAACTGGCCTAGGCAACATGAGACCCTCTTAAAAGACAAAATAAATAAAAATATTTAAAACATGGAAAAGCTGCTGGGTGGGAGTGGTGTACACCTTTAATCCCAGCACTCTGGAGGCAGAGGCAGGTGATCTCTGAGTTCGAGGCCAGCCTGGTCTACAGAGTGAGTTCCAGGACAGTCAGGGCTACACAGATCTGCCTGCCTCTGCCTCCTCAGTGCTGGTTAGGAGTTCCAGGACTTGAGTTATAGTGCAATACATTGCTTGCTTAGAATGATCCAGATACTGTTTACAGTCCCTAGCAGTGAAAAAAGTATACTAATAAAAAAAGATGCTAATGCTTAGCCAGGCATGATAGTGCACACCTATAATTCCAGCACTTAAGAAGCAGAAGCAGGACTTTGAGGCCAGGCAATAATACAGAAGTTCCTGGCCCACTTTTTTTTTCTCTCAAAAAACAAGCAAACAAACAACTCCCCCTTCCCCAATAAACAAAAAACACTAATGTTTGAGCTAGATTCACGGAAATTATACTGCTTATATGACATGCTTTAGGTCCTGGTTCAATTCCTAGCACCTCAAAAATAAAAATAAAATTATATTACATAAATATGGACTGTGATTTTTTTCTTCTTTCTTTTCCTTTTTCTTGTTTTGTTTTTGTTTTTTCAAGACAGGGTTTCTCTGTGAAACAGCTCTGGCTGTCCTGGAACTCGAACTAGCCAGAGATCCGCCTACCTCTGCCTCCCAGTGCTGGGATTAAAGGCGTGCGCCACCACTACTTCCTGATTGTGATTTTCAAAGTTTAGTTCAAAGCCAGGTGTCCCAGTAGGGACATGTGGAACTCTATGAGTTCCAGGCCAGCCTACATAGTGAGATGCCATCTCCAAAGAAAAATTTGGTGTAGTGGTCTGCACTTCTTATCTCAGTATAGTGAGGCTGAGGAAGAGGATGGAAAGTTCAAGGCTAACCAGGGTCTACATGGTAAAACCCTGTTTTAAAAAGAAGTTATAACCTCATCTTCCTTCTGTGCTTCTAGGATAGAACAAATGCCTGTAGAAAGATGAGAAAGGGATTAATATGTGACATTTTTGGGCAGAGAATTGTAGAAAATCATCTCTGTTATTCATTAGGAAGGTAACAGACATATCCCTTATTTCCTTCTTTCTGTTCTTAGTCTAAATATAACTTGGCTTTTGTGAGAGAAGTGCTTTTAATATTGAGAGCTTTCTGGGGCTTGGTAGCCTTTCCTCAGTGATGGTAGTATCTGCAGTCGCCTGTTATCTCATTGTGCCTTCTCTCACCCCACTCTACCCCAGGACAATAGTTCCTTGGAAGAGCTTTCGACAGGCCCTTCATGAAGTTCATCCCATCAGTTCTGGGCTGGAGGCCATGGCTCTGAAGTCCACTATTGATCTGACCTGCAATGATTATATTTCCGTTTTTGAATTTGATATCTTTACACGACTTTTTCAGGTAGGATTCTAAAGTCATTGACTAACCTGGTGCTATTTTTCTGAAGAGAAAGCTTTAAAAAAAAAAAAAAAAAGATAAAATGGAATATGGTGGCTTGCAATTATAATCCTACCACTTAGGGTGTTGAGGCAGGATGATCACTGAGTTCAAGGCCAGCCTAGGCTACAGAGTGAGTTAGAAGCAAGCATGTCTAGGATAAGGCCCTGTCTGAACTAGAAAAAAAAAAAAAGTAACGTTAAGGATTTTGTCTATCACAAGAGAATTTTAATTCAGGGCTAGAGAGATGACTTAACAGTTAACAGCACTTGCTGCTCTTACAGAGGACCCTGGTTCAGTTCCCGTGGTGACTTGCAACTATCTATAATCCTGGCTCTAGGTGATCTACTGCCCTGTCCTGAGCTGTAGGCATCACACATGCATAGAGTGTGCATATATACTTGCAAGTAAACTACTCCTAGACATAAAATAAAATAAATGCAATATAAAAGTTTTTTGATTCATTTTAGAAACTTGTAAGCAAAAGAAAGATTAAAATTAACTCACAAATATTGCTATTAATTTTAGAATTGTGGGAGTGGGAGAAATAGTAACAGTTTATTAAGAAAGACAGGGAAAGGCCTTCCTAAGACTAGAAGTGGGTCTGGGATTAGAAAGATCCTAAACTGTTTTCTTTTATTCCTTTGATGTGTGTTGCTAACTTGTTTTTCTGTAGTTCAATTCTTTCTCTGTTTTTTTGAAAATAAAATTTTATGTAGCCCAGGGTGGACTCATGTTTGCTATGTAGTCAAGGCTAGCCTTGAACTCCTGATCCACCTGCTTTTTCTGCCCCCAAAGTATTGGGATTGCAGTATATGCACCATCCCTGGCTTCTTATTCCATTCTAGATTGTTAGTCCTAAAATGCATTGGTTCTTCAGTGTGTGTATGTGCCAGCTTGAATAAGCATTCATTAAGAGCTTAATAATTACACATATAGGCCCTATTCTGTTTTTCTGGGTTTTGTCATTGTTTGACCTTTATATTGGTAAGAGCTGCTGAGCAATTTTGTATGTGTAGTTGTCTCCCTATACAAGGCAGCTTGTATTCTTAGCTCTCAAACTTTCTACTCTCAAATTTGTCTTCCCAAAGAATGACAATAGAGAATTTGTGACAAGCAGAATTTATAATTTAGAGTTGAAGTTTTTTCTTTTGTTCTTCATCGTTCTAAGGCTGGTTGTGTGTCTGAACCAAGTGGTCTATGATTGGTCTTCTATTTCTTTAGCCCTGGTCCTCTTTGCTCAGAAATTGGAACAGCCTTGCTGTAACTCACCCTGGTTACATGGCTTTCCTGACATACGATGAAGTGAAAGCACGGCTCCAGAAGTTCATTCACAAACCTGGCAGGTCAGTACCTTGAGTCAAAGAGGTTTGTTCTCCTGAATTTTGTTAGAGTTGAAGGAACATCATCTTTTATTGGTTCCCCAGTGGCCCAGATTTGGGGATAAGATTGATTTAATCAATTTAATCAACTCCTGTGATTTAGTAAATATTTCTAAGCCAATTTAGAATGAGATTTATACTGGGTGCTTGGAGTCCTAGTATGCAGGAGCTGAAAAATATAGCAAAGCCCTATCTCCAATAAATAGAGCAATGAAGTCTAGATGTATTTTGCTTCTGTTCTGGAATCATTAGAGGAGCTGATTTTTTTTTTTTTTTTTTTGAGTTGGAGATTGAACCCAGGCCTGTAGGCGTACTAAGTATTCATTCCCCGTCTAAGTTATGCCCCAGTCACTTGAAAAAAGTTACTTGAAATTCTTTTCAAGTTAGCATACAAAAAAAAAATGAGTTTTATTACTTACGTTTTCATATATATTTTGCTTTTATTCATATTCATCTTTCCCCCTAAAGAAATTATTCATAATGGTCTTTTTTATTTTGTCTCTATATTGCCCTCTATCTGATACCAGCATATATATTGAAACTTCTGGTAATCTCTGTCCTCAGTTACATCTTCCGCCTGAGCTGTACTCGTCTGGGTCAGTGGGCTATCGGGTACGTTACTGCGGATGGGAACATTCTGCAGACAATCCCACACAATAAACCACTCTTCCAAGCACTGATTGATGGCTTCAGGGAAGGCTTGTGAGTATCACTGCTTTTTGTTGTCTCAGCATCTAGGAACTGGGGACACCAGTGCCTCTTCATTAATGGCTTCTATTGCAGGTTTTCTCTACAGACTAAAATTTCAGGAATGTGTTAATATACTACCTTGCCCTGTCTTGAGGTTGAGCTTTGTTCTTTTTCAGGGTTCCGTAAGTGAGACTGGCTTTCTTTGTTGTTTTAGTTATTATCACGAGTAAACTTTATCTCTTTTTCCAAATAGCTTAGTTTTAAAGCCAAATTGGAATAAAAAGCTATGCAAGGATCAGGACATTCTGCTGCTTATTTAACTAGTCAGTGTGAGGGTGATTAGATGTTCCAATGACATCAGACCTCAATGATCTTCAACCTAGTTTTAGTCTGAGTCAATAGTTCTTTTCTTTAGGCCTTGGGCTTCTTTTTTGTGATGTATGCTAATATTTATGGCTAAGTTCTTATTCCTGAATTACCATTTATTTGGGAATTCAAATTCATTTTCAGTCAGTAAACACTGAAAGTACTGTTGAGTGGGTATCAGAAAAGCAACTGTGTTCTAAAGTTACTAGGAAAATACATTTTTCCATTATGTATCATCTCCGCATTAGCATTGAGGCAAGAAGAGGTGCTACTCCTAACATCCGAACAGTCTGGCGCTAGAATCCACTGGTAGATGATCTCAGTGGCTTCATTTGCTTCCTCCACTTGTAAATTGGGGTCTGTATAAAGTGTTTAGTCAAAAGCAAATATAGGGCAGGGCATGATCCCAGCACTGGACTAAGAGAATCATGAGTTTGAGGCCAGCCTGGGCTACATAAAAGGCCCTCCCTCAGCAATCAAAAACAAAAGAAA